TTTTTTTTTTTTTTTTTTTTAAATGTAGCCGACATTGCTCCTTTCTAGCCTTTTGGGTTTGCCGTGGCTCATTTTCCCTTCGCCTAGGCATCCCCTTGTAGTCCATTATTTCTCGGACTGCAGTCATGGCCATTTTTCTAATCCCACAGCCCCACAACTTACCTCATGCTAAAAAAAAATGAAGCATTAAATTTTTAAGTGCATCCGGGGTCAATATTGGCTCCGGATGCACCAAAAACATGTGTTTCTCCTCCCCCATGTAATCCGTTATTTTTCGGTTGCACGGGGCTTTGATTCTCTTTGATTTTTTTGCAAAAATCAAAGAGAATCAAAGCCCATTGCAACCGCTATATTCGGATGTATCTCCCCAAGTGGTCGTTTTTGACCGTTAAGGTCTTTTTCTCTTTTCTTTTATTTTCTCTTTCTCTTTTCTTTTCTTTTTCCTCCTTTCTTGGACAGTAGGGACCTGCCAGTCCCTACCTGTGGCAGTCCCTACCTATGGCAGTCCCTACTGACGGCCAACTCACTCACTCCCTCTCACTTTTTTTGTCTTGTTCTCCCACATTTTCTTTTCTTTTCTCTCTTTTTTCTAGTATGCCAAGTGTCAAGCGGCCGTTAAGGCCCTTTTCTAGCCCCTTCCTCTTAGTTTTGGCCCTTCCTATACCCAAGGTGCAGTTCATTATATCTCGGACTGCAATAATGACCTTCTCATGCCCATGAGAGCTTTCTTTTACTCTTATTTCTCTCTCACAGTGACCCCTCCTACTCCGATTTTCTCCAGGAGGCCTATTTTTCACATGGGGTCTCTTTTGACTCCATATTCTTGAGGGAGGCTGATCCGAGATTTTTCGGATTGCTCCCATGCCTCTTACTACAGGTTTCTTTACTTTTTTTTTTCCCGACATCTTGACGGTGCATCTTGCCTTTATTATTTTCCCTCATGTGGTGCCGCCGTTTCTTCTTGGGACTTTCACATGACATGTCCCCGCTATCCGTCCCGTCGGCAGTCCCCGGCACTTAGTCCCACCGACGGTCCCCAACACTTAGTCCCACCGGCGGTCCCCGACACTTAGTCCTACCGGCGATCCTCGACACTTAGTCCCACCGGCGGTCCCCGACACTTGGTCCCACCGGCGGTCCCCGACACAATTTGCCTCGGATGCCATTAGTTTTACTTGGTCCCACATGGCCCCGGGTGCCTTAGGTGTCCCGCGTCCCTTGGACGCTTTGCCGCCCCACGGCAACCCCTCTCCCTTGTCTTTCTTGCGCCTTGCGCGCACCTGTTCCTTTGGTCGCGGGCCTCCAACCCGAGGCTCCCGTAGGTGGCCCCTATGTTGGCCCTTATTTTCTAGGCCCCCTACGGCCTTCAGAGCCCTTCGTCTCTCGACTTCCTCATTCTCTTGCCGCTGTCGTGCCGTGTTTGCTGGTTCAAGGGTCCTTTGGCCTTAGTCTTGTTGAGTTCCAACGGCCCTCCCGGCCTCATGCTATGTTCTATGTGTCCCTATTCTTGCACTTATTCTCTTGCCATTGCTGGTTTTCTCCTCCTGTGGTCCTCACCCCAGAGCATCACTCCCTCCTGTGGCCTAATCCTTTGTCCTTCCTCTCTCTTGCCTCCTCACTCCACATTTCTCTGTCGTGCACAATTCGTCTATATTCAGTCTCTTGAGTGATGGGAAGTTATTCGGGACCCACCAGTCCCTACAGCGGTCCAGCCACGGTGTTCCCAAACAATATCGCACATTAAGTGCATAACATCGAATGAGACCTGACTGCGGAGGGTTCCAATAGTCATGGTAGTCTCGGGAACCGTGCGGTCTACTACGACGGTGGTGTCTTTGTCCCCTAAACGAATTGTAATCGGCGAGTCGTATCCGGTAGAGGTAAGGCCAGCTTTCCGGACACACGCGTGGGTGATGAAGTTTCTGGTGGCTCCAATGTCGAGGAGGGCCCGGAACTTGGTCTTTGACACACCAAGGGTGGCGGCGATGAATTTGAGGTGAGAGCGTGATGAGTTGGCGGTGGAGATAATGGTGTTGAGGCGACGTTGTTCATTGCCTAATCGAACAAGCCGATCGTGCCGGGCTTGTTCCTCAACAACATCAGAGAAGGTGACATAGGATGGATTCGGAAGGAGGGTTGAGGAACAAGTAACAATGAGGGGGGCGTCAGGCGACGAGGGTTGCGACGAGGGTTGCGACGCGGGGGTCGTCCGATGGGGGGTGCCGCACCGGAGAGGGGGGAGGCAGACGTATTGTCGATGCCAAATGGGCCACCGGTGGGATGGAGATCGTCACCGATGGGGTGGCCGACAGACTAGTCGTCGATGCCGGGGTGGAGACCTATGGACAGTGTTCAGGTCGAGGAGGGGCCCGCTCCTGCCGAGGGGGGTGATGCGGAGGTTACGAGCCGGGGAGCCGCAGACTGGCATGTGAAATGTCTAGCATTTGGGCAGTCCGTTTGCAGGTGGCCTAATTGACGGCACCGGAAACATCCACCCTTTGCCTGAAGGTGGGCTCTTTCCTCGGGTGTGAGTTTCTTAAGGCGGCTCAGGAGGGTGGTCGGGGGAAGGCGGTTGGAGCGATCTCTCTTTTCCATTCGCATGAGGTGAATGGCAGAGAGTTCGTCGGGGGAGAACGACGTGGTGTCTAGTGGATCAGAGAGGGTGTCAATGTCGGGGGCGGTGAACTCGTCCGAGGAGGTGGTGGAGGTGGTGTCCTCGGAGACGATGTTGTGGAAGAAGCGAGGGCGGGGAAGGGCCGATGTACGGTGCGGTCTTGTAAGGGGAGAGGATGCGATCGAGTTGGAGGGCACGAGTGAGGAGGTCGGCGAGGGTCATGGGGGGCTCATGGACAAGGGCGACCGCTAGGTCTTTGCGGCATACGCGCTTAACGCGGAAGATGAAGGTGAAGTCGATGACGACGTCGATGGGGATATGTTGACGAAGCAAGTGGACGTATTGCACAAAGCGGTCGGTTGGGTCGTTTTGTTGGAGCCGGCAGAATTAGTCGATGTAGTCGTCCGACCGTTTTCTGTGGGCGGAAGGTGGAGGTGGTGAGGGTGGCCCACTCAAGGAAGGTGTAAGGTCGGAGACTAGCGTGATGGAGAATGGTCATTTCGGTGTACCACCAGCGAGCAGCATTGTCTAGGAGTCGGCCGCCAGCGATGGGGAGCCAACGGACGACATGAATGCTGTGGAGGGAGAAGGCTTGTTGAAGTTTGGTGCGAAAGAGGAAGACATCCTCATGGGGTTGGCCTGAGAAGGTGGGAATCTCGTTGGCGCGGAATGATGGGGGGATTTTGCCTTCTCTGGGGTTAGTGGCGGCAAGGGCATTGAAATCCAGGGTGGGAGAGGAAGAGTCTACCAGGATGAAATCATTGGCGGGCTTGGTGGGGATGAGAGCATTTGGGAGAAGTAGAGGAAAAGCGGGATACATAGCTTGTGGAATGGTCTGGGTTTAGTTGGGGATGGTGGAGGTGCAGCACAGCACGCAGCCGCAGGCCACTTTGATATAGGGAAGGGCCTGCTTGCGCATGGGACATTTGGCTATGGCTGCCTGCTCCTTCCAGCTCGCCCGTGAGCGCGTGAGCCTGGCAGGCGATAGCGCAGCAGTGCTTGCGCACAAAGCAGCCAATGCCCGAATGTCCCATGCTTAGGCAGGCCCTTCCCTATATCGAAGTGGCATGTGGCTGCGTGTTGTGCTGTAGTACTAGGCCCCGGTCCAGAAGCTTCCGGGAGGCCCGGGGAGGCTGAGCCTCAGTCGGAAGTCACCAGGCCCAGGCCATGTGGTGGTTACCAGCACCCAACTGCCCTCAACCTTTGTTCGGTCCACTTTGTGTATCCGGCCCAGCGCCTGCCTCAGTTACATGCAATGCAAGGCATCCTGGGTCTGGGCGTTTCCAACCGCCTGGGACTGCGCAACTGCCTGAATTTCCCCAGTTGCGTAGTAGTCCAAAATAGGCCTCTTGAGGTCTGACGAGCCTGCCTTCACTTAGGGCGGCCGACGCTTGTTGCAAATAGGGGCCCAGTAGGGCTTATCGAGGCCTTGTGCCTCGCATTCCCTCCTCCATACTTCACTAGTCCTCGGAGAAGTTCAGTCTTCGATACTCTGACGCTTTCCCTTCTGCAGAGACTTCTCATAGTGAGCGCCTACATGTGGAGCGGTTTGCATCAGTTCCTCTCTTGTGAACCACCTATCCTCCTTTGGATCGGTGTGATGTCTGAACCGAACTCGATACTGCAACTTCGGTTTCGGAGGACGTCCTCTGCCGGTTGGTCTTGGAACTGGCATTTCCCTATGATCAACAATGTTGTCGATGTCAACCCCTCCATCCATGGTTGGGGGCAGCATTGAACGACGAGAGGGAAACTGATCTGTTTCTCTAAAAGGTGCAAGCTTTGAGGCGTGGAAAACAGGGTAAGTGCATAAGTGACCAGGGATACGAATAACATAAGATCGTCCATCTGGTTCATTCCCCACAACATCTAAAATCTCCCAGGGTCCAAAATTATGTGGCACGAGTTCACCGCGAAATCCGGTACTTCTGTCCCAACTCTGAGGACTTAACCCAGACTCTTTCTCCTACCTGGAATGTAGATGGGCGGCGGTGTTTGTTCTCAGACTCGATCATCGCCGCCTGTGCTTTGTGCATCTGTTCTACTGCCTGTTGCATCAACTTCTCATATCGATAAGCAAACTCCAAGGTCCCTAGTGCAGCAGCTGACTGATTCTCAGGTAGTAGGAAGTCCAAGGGCAGTCTAGGCTTGAAAGTAAGTAGCAAGTTGTTCAGGCTTACTCCCGTAGCGTTGTGCATAGCGTTGTTGTACAGGCAGGCGATGAGAGCGAGCTTCTCATCCCAGTCTACCTGATTCGGCTTGTTGTAATGCCTCAGCAGGTGTTGTACAACGCAGTTCAATTGCTCTGCCTGCCCATTCGCTTGGGTGATTGCCTGATGTCATTTGCAACTACGTGCCCTGTTCTGCAGCTGCAGCTTTCCACAGTTCACTAGTGAATCGGACATCCCGGTCACTACTAATAGACTTAGGCAGTCCGAAATCTCCAACCCAGTTTTCTTTGAACAACTTAATGACGTACTCAGTCTTTGCTGTTTCCGGCATTGCAACTAATCTAGCATACTTACTGAACCTATCCACAATGACAAAGATGTGTCGCATTCCACTCTTGCTGGTGATGAGTGTGTCCATGAAATCCGTGGATAAGCTCTCACCAGGCCTTTCCGGAATCGGAAGGGGCTTGAGGAGCCCAAGAGGGGCCTGTGTACGGGGCTTGTCTCTCTGACGGACCTGACAAGTCTCCACGTACAGCTTGGCATCTCTCATCACTGCGGGCCACCAGGAGCGCTGCAGCAGATTGGCTGCAGTCTTCTTGAAACCAGAATGTCCCGTGGCATCATGACACTCGCCTAAAAATAAACTCCGCAAAGACTCCCTATCTGGCACACACAGACGTTTATTCCTTGCCTTCTCAAGGAACAACAGTCCGTTGACCAACTCAAACTCCGCGGAAGTCGCTTTGTCCTTCGCCTCGAGTCTACGTATGATCTCAGACATAAGCCGGTCCTCGTGATAGGCTTCCACCATTGAGTGAGTAACATCGTCCGCAAGCCCAAACTCAGTGATCAGCGCACCAGAGAAATCTGGTCTACGCGACAGTGCATCAGCAACCTTGTTATACTCGCCCTTGATGTACTGGGGCTCGAAGTCATACTGCTCTATGACTTCAATCCAACGCTTCAGAGCGTTGGAGAGCACAGGCTGGGTTCTCATCCACTTCGGGGTCTCGTGATCAGTCCTGACGTAAAAGAACCTTCCAAGGAGATAGTGTCTCCAATGGGTGAGCGCCTTGTAGATCGCATAGAGTTCCTTCTCATAGGTGGACTTAGCCAACTTCTTAGAGGGCATCTTCTTGGACATGTACTCAACCGGCCTCAACTTCTTCCCCTCCTGATGCGCAAGTACGACACCTATGCCATATTGGCTAGCATCCGTAGTTCCCCTCCTTCGAAAGGTTTGTCAGGATCAGGAAGTTTCAAGACCTCATGGTGTGTCAACGCATGCTTCAGTTGTCTGAAAGCAGCCTCACACGTGTTTGTCCACTCCCATGGGGTGTCAAGGCGAGTCAGGTCCGTCAAAGGGGCGGCCACTATGCTGTAATTCTGAACAAAATTGCGGTAGTAGCCTGTCATCCCTAAGAAGGACCTCATCTCAGTAATAGACTGAGAACGCGGCCAGTCACGAATGCTGGCCACCATCGCGTCATCGGGCTTCAATCCCTCCGCGGAGATCTCATGACCCAAGTACAAGACACGGGTGCGGCCAAACTCGCACTTCTCACCGTTGATCTTGAACTTGTGTTGTCGAAGAAGGCTAAGGACTTTGTCCAAGTGCGCAACGTGCTCCTTGACAGTCCTACTAAAAATAAGTATGTCATCGAGGTACACGATGACAAACTTATCCAAGTCGTCATGAAATATCCGATTCATAGCGTGCCGAAAGGTGCCAGGAGCATTGCGAAGGCCGAAAGGCATCACCATAAACTCGTACAGACCGTACCTGCGGTTTTGTGTTCATCCTCGGGCCGAATTGCAATCTGATGGTACCCGAACTTTAGATCTATCTTACTGAAGTACCGACACCCTTGCACTCTATCTAGCAAATCGTCGATGCGCGGTAGGGGCTCTCGGTTCTTGACAGTGATGGCATTGAGGCCCCTATAGTCAATGCACATCCTCAGTGTTCCTTCCTTCTTTGGTACGAATAGGACTGGAGATCCATAAGGAGAAGCACTCGGCCGGATCCAACCCTTCTCTACAAGTTCCTTGAGTTGCCGACGAAGCTCATCAAGCTCGCCTGGAGACATCTGATAGATCCTACCCTTCGGGATGCTAGACCCTGGGATAATCTCTATCGCGTGGACGACCTCCCTCTCAACAACCCCTTTCGGCTCTTCAAATAGATCAGGGTACTTGGCAACTACTCCCTCTATCTCCGACGACATTTTCACCGGCTTGCCTGCTGCAGAGACATAGACTAGATACATACCCTCCTTCGGATTTTGCTTATGATAGTTATAGAACACGACCACGCACATGCATCCGTGGGACTCGATCAGACTAATAGCTTTGAACTTACGTAATCTAGCAGTCCCCCCACCTGGCAAAGTGTGTTTGACCACTTTTCGGTCCCAGTTAAACTGCGGCTGTGCCATGGAGAGGTAGTACATGCCTAACAAGATATCCATAGGGAGATCATCGCTCACTAGGAACGAGACGCGATGTCTCAATTCCCCTCCCGCGTACGGGAAACAACACTAACATCCTGGAGGTAGTCGTTGACTACCATGCGTTGTTTGTTGGCACAGGTCGACTTCACAGGTCGACTCAGGCGCTGCACTTGCCCCTGTAAACGCAGCCTCTCAACGCACGCACAACTAATAAAGTTTCGTGTCGAGCAAGTGTCATAATAGGCCCCGGCCTTGAGGCCGCCAATGACCACCTCACTGACGAACATCTCACCCTTAGGGGCTTTGACTAATGTCGTCCAAGAAGCTAATGGGTCTCATCTAGACCACTCCTCCTCTAGCTCCTCTAAGGACTCGAACACATTCATCAAACAGAGGCTCGATGGGTCTGAACGTGTTTGCGGGACAACGATGGAGTCAGTAGCTTGGGCCATTTCTCGAGATGGCGAGGGTGCATCCACCACCTCGACCCTAGCAGGAACAACTACTATTCCTACTGGCCCGACGTGTTTCCTGGAGCGGTGCCAGAATTGCTGGCCAAATTACTACCAATGGGAGCGGAGGGCCCCAACGCCTGGCTCATCGTAGGCGGGATCTTTTCGGTCACCTTCTTATTTCGACACTTGAATTGGTTATGGCCATATTGGCCACAACGGATACAAGCCTGCCGTGTGTACCGATCTCTCCACACGTCCTCAGTGAAACCCGCTTTCTCCCATGGAGGAGCATTGAGGTCAACTTGACTCCTTGCCCGGGAACCTCCACGACGCCTACGGTCGCCTTACCTTCCTGTGCTACGGCAGCGACTACTCCACCCCTTGAAGCCTCTACGCTGCCAGCCTCTGAACCTACTCCCGCGTGGAACTCGTCGTCCAACTCGATGGTTGATCCATCGTTGTCGACGAACATAATGTGGCCCTTCGCCTTCCAGTTGGGAGGCAGTGACTTCTTCCTACCATCCGTCGTGGGTGTCTGACCATGCCCTATCTTTGCTTCAAGGTCTACGGCCTTCTGGCTGAGCGATGGGAAGTTGTGCATGTTGATGTTGACCTCACCAGCCAACTGATTCCTCAGAAGCATTGGAAAGCATCTCAGGTAGGAGGTGAGTAATACCTGGGGGTCGTAGCGCACCCCACGAACACAGATCAGACGCTCTACTGCGTCAGTGGCCTCCCTTACTAACTGAAACTGCCTTGTATGCAGCGTCAGTATCGCATCAGTGGCCTTTTGGGCCTCCTAAGGATCATGCCACCTATCTTCCACCATCTTGAGAAAGTCCTTCAGTTTCTGGTGGGCTGCCCAAGCGCGAAAGTCATGACCGTATCCCTGCAACTGCACTAAACCACTCAACCATCTTGCTGCACTACCCTCTAGGTAGGATGCAGCCACAAGCACTTCCTCGTGCGGCAAGGTCAGTTTGCACTTGACATAGACCGGCACTGCCCTTAACCAAGTGTCGAGGTCTTCGCCTCTCTTATCCCCTGTGAAGAGTTTAGGAGCGGCGATGGCCGTCTTTGGTACCCACTGACTTTGTCCCGGTCCCTGCATCACTCCGGGCTATGGACCCTGTGGTGCACGCTGGCTGCACTGACTGCTGGTGTAACGGGAGTGAGGCTGAGGGTGAGCCGAGGGAGAGGAGAGAGAGAGGGAGAGAGTGAGAGCACACACACACACTCACTCACTCGACACGACGGACTCGGACTGAGGGTTGGACGCAGACACAGTGGCAAGGCACAAAGTCGAAGTCTTGGATTCCCAATGCCGAAACGGCAAGTCACACTGAGTACAAGTACAGCAGCAGAGAACTGGTACGAGACTGGTCCCCGTACCGTACGGGGAGCCGGTAYAAGTACCGGTGACACGTACGGTACCAGGGGCATTTCTGCAAAGGCCCCGAGTCACCATCCGCACTGACAACACCATCGTCTCCTCCATCCTCTCCAAGAAAGATATCACTCCACTCCAGGGCTCGAGTTGAATATGATTTTTGGCAGCCGGGACGTTGCCTTCTAGAGGGAGGGGATAGTGTTACGGACTTCGCCAGGGCTCGATCCCTGGTCTATCTTTTGCTGTTTCGGCTGCATCCCGTTTTCGGCCTGGCACCCTTTTCCCAAACCCCTCCTTTGGTACCGTAGGATTTTGGACAACTGGCGCCATGCTGCAATTCAGGCGCCACTTTCAAATACTGCATTTTTCAGTTCGGCGCCAGACTGTGAGGGCGTGAATCACGGCGAGGAGTTCCTTCTCGTTGGAGGGGTAATTCATCTCTGCGGGAAGGAGCTTCTTGCTTGCGAAGGCGATGGGGTATTCGCCAGGTGGAGCCTCGGGGTGAGTGGGCGAGTCCTTGATGGAGGGGGTCTTGACGGTGTCGCGGGGGAAATGTTGGGACAGTACGGCTCCGATGGCGAAGTCGGAGGCGTCAGTGATTTTAGAGTGCAATATTTGTAGTAATGGACTGGACTGGACTGGCGTGGTACCGACCGTTGGACCGGGTAGGACTGGATTTAAACAATATCCGGCTTAAAATTAAACGGTTAGGTGTATTACGTCGATTCTTTTGAGTAGTATATCTTGAAGATTTTGAAAAATTTGTTTGATGTCGGATGGGCCATCGGTGCGACGAAGGATGTCACTGATGGGTAGGCCGACAGATGCAATGTTGAAGCCGGGTCAGTGTTCTGGGGACTGTGTTCATGACGAGGAGGGGCCCGCGCTTGCCGAGGGCGGTGATGCGAAGGTTGCAAGTCGCGTGGAGGTGGACTGACGGGTGAATCGTGCGGCGTTGGGGCAGTTGGTTTGTTGGTGCCCCAATTGGCGACAACGGAAGCAACCCCCTTTTGCTTGGAGGTA